CGCCCCTGGGCCTAAGGCCAGGCCAGCCCCTCTGGACCCTGGCGACCCCTCAGCTGAATGCAATGAGGGGGGCTGGGCAGATAGCTGTTCTGCTGATTCAAGAAGAAAACTCTACAAAACTGTCATGAGGACTCCTTTGTGCCAGGCCTGTGTTTTGAACGTTTTTTTTCTTTATTTTTTTTAAGTTTTAATTATTAATTTTTATTTATTTATTTACTTATTTATTTTCAATTGTCAGAGGGTGCATGCCCTTGCCAGAGTGAGGTGGAGAGACACAGAGAGGGAAGGGGGAAAGTACTCCCCCAACGGGGCATGGTCGTGCTTTAAATCCCTTTTCCTCCATCAGGATTTAGGGCACACAGATGCACCTGTGCAGCATGCTTTGCAAGCCGCCGGGTCCTGCATGGAAAACGTGGGGTCGGCCATGTGGGATTCTGTCCTTTAGCCACCAGACCACTGGGCCAGCCCTATTTATTTATTTAGCTCCTCCCTGAGTGAGAGAGACAGAGAGAGGCGGAGAGGGAAGTAGAAAGACAGAGTCCTCAGCAGGGTCTTGACATCATGACCCACCGCAAGGCTTACCCAGCTCCGATTATGGTCACGAGTGCCTGGTGTACTCAGGAGGTCTCCTACAAACCTCCTCATGTAGGTCAGCCCTGCAGAGCCTCAGGTTTCCCTCTACACCGTTGTCTGGCCCCCCTAAAGTGCATTTTTAAATTGCGTTTAGCTGCTCCGGGAGGTAATACTACTGCTCCCATTCATAGATGGAAAAAGACAGGGGCATGTAACTTAAGTGTTTCGAAGTCACACACACAGTAAGCGGAAAAGCCAGGCCATTGATCCTCGGGCTTTAGCTTTTCTCTCCTACCCTGAGCTCAGTCTCTCCCATGCGACGGTGTCCCTGTGACCAGTGGGGATCAGCTGGGGCTCCGAATCCAACAGAGCCATCTTCCTCAGGGCATGCCACTTCCTGTTGCCTGGCTCCGTCATGTGGCTTCATTTCCGAGACACCACTTCCGTACTTCAAGGGGAGCTGTTAATCGTTTAACCTGCCTCTGTAGGAGAGACGGCAGCCTGACCGCTCCCCATCTGAGGGTGCTTCCCCCACCCCCACCCGTGAGCACATCTACTCTTTGGCAAAAAAAAAGGAAAGAAAAGAAAAAACAACAAAACAAAACCCAAAATCAACAAAACTGTCTCCCTTAGGCCTGTGCATTGAACATGTCCCCGCCACGACCCTTTATGACTACGCAGGGCCCCTCTCCACACATTTCTCAGGATCAAAATCCAGCACTTGTCTCAAAGTTCCGTTCAGAAGCCTTCCCCGACCCGGTGGCTCTAGCCCTGCGTCCCGTCCCACCTCCTGGCAGTCTGTCAAGCTGTAGCATAACTTGCTGACTTGTTCTTCCTGGATCGCGGTCGGCCTAACCAGGCTAGGGCACGGAATGTTCCGAGGGCCTGCGCAGTTGGCTGGAAAGCTATTTCACCTGTGCA